TTGGGTGGAACTTTTCTGATGTGGGGCCTGATTCTTCTGTTTTTGGGAATAACCGTTCAGATGTGGGGTCTGGTTCTTCTGTTTTTTCGGGTAACTGTTCTGCTGTGGAGTCCAGTTCTTCAGTTGTTGGGTGGAACTTTTCTGATGTGGGGCCTGATTCTTCTGTTTTTGGGAATAACCGTTCAGATGTGGGGTCTGGTTCTTCTGTTTTTTCGGGTAACTGTTCTGCTGTGGAGTCCAGTTCTTCAGTTGTTGGGTGGAACTTTTCTGATGTGGGGCCTGATTCTTCTGTTTTTGGGAATAACCGTTCAGATGTGGGGTCTGGTTCTTCTGTTTTTTCGGGTAACTGTTCTGCTGTGGAGTCCAGTTCTTCAGTTGTTGGGTGAAAGTGTACTGCTGTAGGGTCTCTTTCTTCTGTTGTCGGGTATAACTGGTATGCTGAGGGGTCTGGATCTTCATTTGTTGAGGACAACTGCTTTGTTGCAAGGTCTGTTTTTTCTGTTGTTGGGTGTAACTGTTCTGTTGTGGAGTTTGGTACTTCTGTAGCTGGGTGAGGCTTTCCTGTTGAAGCGTTTTCCTCTTCTATTGTTGGGTCTGGCTGTTCTACTGTGGGACCTGATTCTTCTGTTGTTGGGCGAGGAGAGAGATGTTTTCCAGCAGATGTCAGTGGCTCTGGCTTTTCCTTTGTTGACTGATACATTTCCATCAAGGAGAGGTGTGTTATGGTGGTGGTTGCTTCTGTCTGTTCTGTTGTTGGATTGAGTCTTTCCATGTATTGCTGTTTGTTTGTTGTGTGTGATGTTTCCATTGAAGAGAGGTCCTTAATGGAAGATGTATGTGGCATTTCTGTTGAGAGGAATGGATTTTCTGATGGACGTGGCAGTTTGGCTGCATAGGTATTTCTCGTGTGTGGCTTTTTCTTGGCATCCAGATGCTTAATGGCTTTAATTGCCCAATTATCAGATGGATCTGAGCAGATGGTTATACCCTTTACAGTAGTAAATCTGTGATGACACAGGGGGAACATTGTCAGACATGGTACTACATACTACAGTATGTTTCCTATTCTGAATGGGACAGTAAGGTTCTCACAACTGTAGTGCAATATAAAACACAAAGCATTTTGTTATTTTGGATTATCCAGGAGTTAATAGTTGGGTTTGACATACATAATTAGGAGACTTGTAAAACTTGAAACTAAAACATTAAACATAACGTAAAACATTAAAATTACCTTTAAAATCACTTCATAAATCATAAATGCCCAGTAAGAATTTTTCCATTTTATTGCACCAGAAATTCTTGGGAACTTGATAAAACATGTAATGCTATTAGACAGATTTAAAACTCAATAAAAATATGTTTTATATATGTAGGATATTGTCTGCATATAAGCAATCCAGACTAAAACTGGGTGAGCGTCCCCTTTAAGGAGCAAGTAGATATTTTTAATAAGCCGAAATAAATAAGAATGCTCACCGAACTGCCTTCACTGGACACATGTCAGTTTGTATGTAGTACATCTTCAGCTTCTCCATGGGGACTCTGGTTTCACTGGTTTTCAAACAACAGCTGACAGTGGGCCCAACTACCGCTGAAACAGCACATCGGGACACATGGCATTTTAACAGCACCAGCACCAGGAAGACTCAGCCCAGTATCGCACATGGGATAGCAATCGCATTTAACCCATAACCTCGCATTCCCCCTTAGTAATGTCTTCTCCTGCAAGGAGCCACGTGGAATACAGAACATCACACAGCAGTGAGGTGTAGCTGTCTCTTACGTAGCTAAATATAGACCTATTGAGTGTTTCAGACCTTCAACATCTCTTTCTCTTTCCTTTGATTTTTCCATCCCATGTGTTTTGGCAGTGAGTGACTTCCTGTTTCACACCTCACCGCTGTCTGCCCAGCGTCTGCGCAAACCCATGCAGCTAATGACAGAAACTGCATTTGCTGGGTTTTGTCATTGAAAAACGTATTTCTCCGCATGAAAGAGTGATGAAAGCTGTAGGGGAGTCTGTGCCCTGGTGGCCCCAGGGTCCGATCTGACAGGGACTCACCTCGGCCTGAAGGAGCCGATAGCAGCAGCAGGAGCAGCGAGAGCCTCAGGACAGAGCAGCTGAGTGGCATCACTGTGACCGCTGGCTTTCTGGTGTCTAGTCTCATTTTCTTCATGCAGGTCTATCTTATATGATCTGACTGAGTAAAGCTTATAAGTAGTAAGTCACAGTTGCTCTTTCCACGCAGCCCCCCAACCTTTGAACCAATCAGCATTTAGTCACAGTGACAAAAATAATGATACTGGTTTGCACAGGAAGTAATTTTGGTTCCATGGTTCATCAAGTTAAAATAGCACCTATTCAGCACCAGAAGTTACATGACCAAGTGCAATTTAACCCTTAACTTAACACCGTGTGTGTTGCCTTTACTCTCGCTGACCTACTTTTACCTCGTATCATTCTCTCCATGTGAAATCTTTGTCTCACTGATAGACTATCAGAAGTCTTCTTAGAAAACATGTGGTCAAATTCATCGCCGTGCAAACAGGACCCGTCTCACAGAATATGATTATTTTCCCGATAAGAAGCAGATTCACAGACTGAGAAGATGTTTCACATGTCATTTAATAGAGACAATTACATCGTTGTGTACAATGTAATTTTCCTTTTGAACACCAATATCAGTGATGGAAATACCTAAAAAGGCTCTTATTATATAGGATTGTCTGTAGTCTTTATTGCTTTTCAAAAATACTGCACACAACAAAGACATATGTTGTGAGTATTATAGTATATTAATACTTTGCAGTTTAGTATTTCAGCGATAGGACAGTTGATTGACTAGAATGTGTTAACATTTAGTGTTTCAGTATATATTTATTGTGTATGTGTGGGCATTATTAGAAGCTAATTAATACTAAAGAAGGAGCATCAAATTGAGATTTTAACCAATTTGTACATAGATTTTGGTACCTTGGGACAGAATAGTACAATACATTTTTCCTGGAAGAACTCAGGGGTCAAAGGTTAAGCTGTAAGCATCAGAGCTGGCAGGTGCTGTTGTGCCTACTGGGATTCCTGTTTCTGCGTTCGCATCTTTCTTTGCCAACACTGGCAGGTTTGTTGTTGCTAGAGCCGCACTCAATATCTCACTTTAGTGACCCCTGGCCCCCAGTGTAGTGACTCTGCTGGCAATAGGGGGCCTCAAACATTGGGGCCCCTTGCAAATGCATGGATTGAGTGTTTTGGTAAACACTGTCGCTGCTTGTCAGTCAGGGACCGCATAGCCCCCTGTGCCCAGGGGTTCGATCGATCCAAGCAGATGGTAGCGCCCCCAACAGTCAGTTTTTTAATTCATGTGATGGTTAATTCGCATACGCTGTTAATTCTACCATGAAAATTCAGCTCAAGGAAAAGTTTTGGAAACCTTTGGGAGTAATTAAAATTCTTCTTAAGATTTAGGAAGAATGCCGTTACAATGGCTATTGCCAACCAATAAAACAAGAGCATTACATTATTAATATAGTGTTTTATATATTAGAAAAATTCAATAGTGTGGAACTTTACAAAATTTCGAACACCTTAGAGTAGGAGAATTTCCTGTTTATTACCGTTTTGCACAAAAAGAAAACAAGACCCCGACTTACAAATCAACACACATTTTATACCTTTTCCAAGATAGGCGTCGTTGCACAAGATCAGCAGATGTTCCTTGTTATTTCCTGTTAGCTCATCTCTGGCCTGCAGTCGTCCAAGGTCAGTCACTTCCTATTCTCCCTTTTCTCATGCAAACATTTCTCCCCCTCTCAATATTTTGGATAACTTACAACACCTTCTTACGGGATATAATGTTAAACAATACACTTCTTCATCAGTTTTAAGACTACAGAGATTACATGTACTTACCATTCACTGATTCAGTTATATGATTCATTACCACTAAATCCAGCTACATCATATTGCATATGCTCCCTACTCTAACAAAGCAAGAGTTAACTTCATATTTGTTTGTTGTTCTGTTCTGCACATAACTGGGGCTGCATTCCCCTCCCAGCCAGGCAGGGGGGGAGAGGGTGACTCAGAGTCCTGCTAGCAAATTGGGATACATTGTTCCTTCATCTGCAGCCTGTGCAGATATTTGCAGTACATAGTCACATTCATGGTGGACAAGGCCCAAGGCATTGGCAGCAATCCCAGCAGCCCTCAGCTCTGTCACTCCACAGGGCTACCAGACTTCATTTTGCATCCACAATAGCAATAATGAATTTGTGTAAAATGAGTATTAGTTCTGAGTTTAAACACACAGCAGTAATTCTCTACTTCAGATACAGCATATACAGCATAGTTACTTCTTCTGATGATCAGAATCTTATTGTATAAGATTGCGGAAAACATACTGATGATACTTAAATATTAATTATAGATGAATGCTTGATGGAAGATGGACAGGGCTGGCTTTCTTTGCCATTCCCAGTAGCTTCTGAGTACAGGAGTCCGCTGGATCAGCGCACATGGTGAGGATTTTAACACTGGTGAACAAGAGACAGTAAAGCATTTTAAAATGAGCTGCCTTGTTGTAATTTTAGTTGGCTACTTTTATTCTCTGATTTGTCACCTTTTTCACACTGATACATCTTCAGAGGTAACGGTATTGTCATGTTCATACTCATCTGATACTTGCAAGCGAGCTTCAAATTCAGGGGTGGCAAGGTTCTGCTAATCTGCTAATTAGCAAGGCTAACTTTTTCGTTAGCAGATTAGCATTTCCATTATCTTTGAGAACCATTAGCAGAAAAATTAGCATTTCCTCAAAATTTAGTTCTGGCAACTGTAAATCCACTAATATTTTATGCAGGAAAAGTGAATAAAGTTTGCAAGCCCTAAAATCATATATATTTATTCCTGTCTGTTGTGAGCATGTCTGCAACAGTTTATCTGGCACGCTGTTGGCTGACTACGTGTAAACACAAGACGGGATTGGTTGATAACTCGTCGGATTTAAGGAAGTCTGGGTTAAATGTAAGTGAATGAAGATGAATGAGTTTAAACTGGGGTACTCGGAAGTCAGTGGAGAACTGGGGCCTGTATCACAAAGCTGGATTTCTTGCTTAGCCAAATAACGCTACTCGGTTGAGTAAGGCCTAAATATCCCCTGGTAATCATTCTAGTCTGATAGATGGGACTAAAATGTTAAACAGGTTAAAATTTTAGCTCTCTAAGTGTCATGCTTATGCATTGTGACACTAAGTATATTTTAACGGGTTTCTGAGTCACAAACCAAACTGAAGCTAAATTCATATAAGTTAATGGTTAATGTTTATCATTAGCTTCTGCTAAATGTTTTAGCTGTTTATTGGTATAGCATTATCGAATTACACTTTGGAGTTAGCAGATTAGTGGTCATTAAAGCTAACTCTTTGGTCAGTGTGGTGTATGTGCTCACACACAAAAGATTAAAAAAACGAGAATTTTAAATTGCGAACTGTTAGCTTTGCCCAACACTGCTTCAAAAACAGTATAAGAGAGCAATGAGATCTTCTACTACAGAGCATCAGGATCCCTCACACAGACTGTTATCTTCCCAACAGGAAGCAGCTGTGTTGTTTCTTGGATTCTAGATGCTGCTGTTGCCTTTTTGTTCTGCTTTGTTGTGTCTTCGATTCTCGATGCTGCTGTTGCTTTTTTGTTCTGCTTTGTTGTGTCTTCGATTCTCGATGCTGCTGTTGCCGTTTTGTTCAGCTGTGCTGTGTCTTCGATTCTCGATGCTGCTGNTTTTGTTCAGCTGTGCTGTGTCTTCGATTCTCGATGCTGCTGTTGCCTTTTTGTGCAGCTGTGCTGTGATTGCTGGGAATGTCGTTGCTGTTTTTCTCAGTTTCTTGCCATCCAGGTACCGCATGGCCCTCTGTGCCCAGGGGCTCGATGGATCCAAGCAGATGGTAAGGCCCAATACAGTCCTGAAACTGGGAAGACAAAATGGTAACATGACTGATCACTTGTTTTATTTACATATTGGTTAATTAGCTGGTAGTTTTACAATGAAATTTCGGCTGAAGGAAATGTTTGCGTGACCAGTGTATAGTACTGTAAGATTTAAGATGAGTACTCATTACAGTGGCTATCACCACTAATAAAACAAGATTCTAATATATTAGTTGGGGCTGTTTTGTACACTTGCTGCAGCTTGTGATACACAAAGCGCCTGCTATTGCAATGAAATGTAAGGGACGCTGTTGCCAGTGGGGGAAAAATTGTGGAGCATTTTAAGAAAAAAGTAAAATGAGCTCTTGTATCGGAATCTGTATCAGTATCGGCAGTTGTGTGTCGGAATCAGATCGGAACTGAAAAAATATGGACCAGCCCACCCCAAGTTTAAACTCACAAAAGTAACTTTGTCACGAGGCAGAACAGCGGGCGCAGGGGGGCAGAATTCAGGGCAAACAAACAGGGTTTATTAACACCACTGACACCAAATAAGATCATGGTGGATCAAGCCGGGGACTTGCGACGTCAAATGGCGAAACTAAACTGTCACTAGACAGGAAAACACTTATAGGAGCTAACAGGGATCAAACAAGAGGCAGCTGAAGTGAGTCACACGAGGGCTGGAACAAGAGGGCAGACAAACAACAGGTGTGGCTTATATAGAGCCACTTGGTCACCTGCTGATGATCAGAATGAATTTAATAATTATCTCTGTAATAGATACTAAGGATATTTGAAAGTTAATTATATCGGAAAGCTTGTTGAAGGATACTCACTGGACTGCTTCCACTGGACACACTGCATGCTGCATGTGGTAGCTCACCAGCCTCTCCAGGGGAGCTTTGATGTCTTTGGTTTTCAGACAACAGGAGGCTATTAGAGGTACTAATGCTGAATAAGATGAAGGACACGTGTTAGATGTGTGGATCTTAACAAAATCCCGGGCCCCAACTTGAATTAGAAGAAACTTGTTTGGATAGGAACCTCAGCATCACAGACCTCATCAGCAGCAGTAGTATATTAAAGCAGATACTTTTGTATTTATTGTCATGTCATACACATCAACTTATTCCGACCAGATCACAGTTAATGCTTGGATCATTTAATTTGTCCATGCATCCATTATTATTATTATTATTATTATTATTATTATTATTATTATTATTATTTACTGTTGTTTTATTATTTTCTTTTTATTTAATTGTTTAATTATTGTTTTTTTATTATCGTTTTATCGTTTATTATTATGTTAATTTATCGTTGTTTATTATGTCAGCGTATCGCTGCCACCATAAAAAATAATATGGTCCCAGTTTCTTGTAACGAGACACGTATCTTGTTATAACGAAATCCACTGAACAACAGACCGAGTTGATGAGTGAATAGGTGAACAAGAGTCTCTTGGTCACCCCTTTGGGACTTCTGGTCTCTAGCATTAAAACATGACAACTGTCTCGTTACGAGATATAAAATTATCACGTCATAATGACATTTTAAAGTATCTTGTTATAACGAGATATTGAAGTATTTTATTATAACGAGATATGAAATTTTCTCATGAAAAATGAGTAAGGCATTCGGTATAATGTAATACCAGGGGTGTTTCTATAGCTATTGAAAATATCCGGGGCTAAGTCAAGTTTGCCTGAGACTTTACTTTTTTTAAGATATGTAAGTTATCATCATTTAGCTATCGACTATTAAATACCACTAATATAATTCATCACATTTTGTACCTCAATAACATTTTATGAATACTTTTTTGCTTGCGACTCCATATGTATATATATCGTAAAATTCAATCTATAACCAGTATACTTTTGTATAATATTGCTGGTGCGGCTTTACTATTAACGGTAAATCATTTTGAATTCCGTCAGTCCGAAAGATGTATGTCCCGGCCAGATTTAATAATGACATGTAAACATCTCAGGGGTCGTTTGAATAAGGTATAAAAAGGGCTGCGTCCAATTTTGATCGTGATCCTCCCCATAATTAACAAATAATGTAACAAAACAACTTGCTCATTATCCATTGTTTTGGGTGGTGTAGTTCGAATTAAGTGTGACGTTCAATCTACAAGCTTTTCGCTTTTTGCATGTCCCACCCCAGCTGGTTTGGTACTTTGAGTACTGGTACCTGATCAGAATTCAGTGGAAAGGGTAAAGTACTGATTTTTTAGTACCAAAAGTACAGCACCTGATGAAGTGGGAAAGCCCCCTTTCCCTCTTCTATTACATTCCTACATCACCTATGTTTTGCCAGTGAGTTTCACATCTCACTGCACATTTCACATCCTCCTGTTTTATATCTCACTGCACATTTCACATCTTCCTGTTTCACATCCCACTGCTGTCTGCTTAGCGTCTGTGCAAACCCAAGCGGCTAATGACAGAAATTGCATGTGCTTGGTGTTGTCTATGCTTTCCAATGACAAGTAAAACTGGATGGTGGCCCCAGGGTCGGATCTGACAGGGACTCACCTCGGCCCGAAGGAGCGTATAAGAGCAGCAGGATCAGCGAGAGCCTCAGGACGGAGCGGCTGAGTGCCATTGCTGTCGCTCCTGGCTTTCTGGTGCCTGATCCCACTTTGTTCGTGCCACCTTATATAATCTCACTGAGTAGAGCTTTAAAAAAGCACACAGTTGCAGTTTACTCTCCCCACAGTTTCCCTGCCTGCTGAACCAATCAGCATTTAGCTTTAGTGACAGTATTAATTTATCTGGTTTGCACAGAAAGTAGTTCCACTCATACCATGAACTTAAAATAGTATCTGTTCAGCAGCAGGTGTTACATGACCAAGTACAACTTAGTCCTTAATTTAAACCCAATTATGTGTCTAATTATGACAGACACCCTGGGCCTCTACCAGTCACACACCTGTACCTCACACAAATTGGTACAAGATCACATTCAGAAAATGCCCAATCCTCCGACATTTTAGCATACTAGGGGTGGAATACTCTAATGCTAGACTTTTTCTTGGTTATGGCTGATGTGTGCTACCAGTGTACTTGTTCATTCTTTTCACTTATGTTACTGAAAAGGTAGATTTTGGTCTTTCCTTGGCACATTATGTTTCTGATGTTGGGTCTCCCTATTCCAGTGTCCCCTGGCCTGTGTCAAGGGGTCAGATAGATTGGAGCAGATGGTGAGGATTTCAGCGTCTGTGAACAAGAAACATTCTGACATTTTAAAATGAGTTGTCTTCTCTCTCTCCCTGAATTGTTTTTACTTATTATCATTCTCGTCTTGCGACATCTTTGTCCCACTCTTACATCGTCATAAGTCGTCTTATAATACATGTGATCGTGTTCAAAGTCCTGTGAACAGGAGCCATTTCACAGACTGAGATTATTTTCCTGATAAGAAGCAGATTTGCAAATTGGGAAGTTGTTTCACGTTTTGTTTAATGGTGTCATTTCATTTAATGTTTCACATTATGGAGGTAGTTAGATCAATTGTACATTTAAAATTTCTGTTAGAACACCAATGTCAGTGGTGGAAATACTTAAGAAGGCCCTCATTACAGTCTTTTGTAGCAGAGCTGGGTGATATATCAATAAAATAACCAATCGTGATTATGAACATTCATATTGTTAACAATTTGAATATTGTGAGTGCTGTAATATAGCCTAAACATTTGTTTTCTTGAATTGTTGAGTTATTTAATGCACAGTCGTTACACAAATTCTATCAAGGAATGAGTCTCTTGTCACAAGCTCCATAACGATTAGTAAAACAATTTGGTCGTCATTATCAGAAAAACTGAAAAACAACTGTCGTATTTTGCTGTTTTACACTTCTGGAATTTTAGAATATTATGAGAAATCTCAATATTGATGAAATCTCTGAAAATATTGATATCATTTTCAGGGCCTATTACTACGGAAGAGGATTAGGGCCACCATGAAAATATTATTTTAATTCTGACTTTAATGTCAGAATTCTGACTTATTTTCTCGGAATTCTGACTTTTTTTCTAAACTCAGAATTATTACAACTATTACGGAAGAGGAGCCTCATGATTATTATCTTCTTCCTATTATTTTGAGATCACCACTTATTCTACTTGTGAACTCGAGATAACAGAAATTTATCTCAACATCGCAAACTTTATTTCCTGTTTTCTTGACGCAGGTGCCTGCCATTTGCTGTGCACACAGGACCACGCTGTCAAATAAACTCCCAGTTTGAGATGGGGAGAGGGACACAACTTAATGATTTAAATACAAAGGTCTGTTTATTGGGGGGACAAATGACATGCCCCCACCCACACCCCTTTCCCCAGTTCGTATGCCCCCCCCCCTTCCCCGGTTCATATGCTTCATATCGAAGCTTAATAATCAGTCTTACTGAAAATGTATTGTTTCTGTCCATTATTTCTGTTACTATCTGGTACAGATCTAGTGAGTAGCAGTGGTGGACAAGGTTCTGCTAATCCGCTAACCTCTAATTAGCGAAGATAACTGTTCTGTTAGCGGATTAGCCTTTCTGTCAACTTTGGAAACCATCAGCGGACCAATTAGTTTCTGCTAAATTTAGTTCCATTAACTGTAAGCCTACTAACGTTTTTCTGCTAGTAAAGTAAGTCAATGGTCAAAAACATTTGTAAATCCTAAAATCATACATATGTATTCCAGTCTGTGGTGAGCTTCTCTGCGACAGTCTATCTGGCACGCTGTTGGTCAACCACGTGTAAACACAAGACGTGATTGGTCGATAACTTGTTGTATTTAAATTAGTTTGGGCTAAATGTAAGTGAACCAAGATAAAGTCCATTTAAACTGGGGTACCCTGCAGACTGGGTTCGTATGGCATTCTCCTCACAGTCAAACTAGTTGGTCTGTCAGTGGTTTTTGATCATACATTACATATGTTGGTTTTATTTTTCTGGTACTGGAAAAAAACACAGCATACTCCTCCAACCAATAGCAGTAACACATGACACATATTCTCACTGATGGGTGAAATTACCATACAAATTACTCAAAGTGGGGGAGCGTAATCTCCAAACCTTGAATGCAATAGCATGGCATGATCACTCACCTTGGTCAGAAGAAGCTCCCAGAAGAGAAACTCACAGGTGTAGCAAAGCCAGACTTAGGAATGTCATTGTCACCTTCTGCTGTCCGCCATGCCATGCGGCTGACAGAGAAAAACAGTTGGGCTTCCTTCAGCATGCTCTGCCCCCACTGGCAGCCAACGTGTCAAGCATCAGCTGAGCAGGATGACTGTCTAACAGAGACAAACTGGGCAAGAACCTGCATCACGTGTCCCCACTTCCAGTGTAGGGTCCGTGGTGAGCCTGGAGCCCATCCTAGCATAGACACGGTGGGGAACACCCTGGATCGGACCCAGGTCATCCTAGCCAACGCATATCTTAGAACACTCAGAGCAGTGTTTCCCAACCCGGCCCTTAGGGGACACCCAGACGGTCCATGTTTTTGCTCCCTCCCAGTTCCCGGAATGTGGACTGTCTGGCAGGGAGCTAGGAGGGAGCAAATATGTGGACTGTCCATGGGTCCCTGAGGACCGGGTTGGGAAACCCTGCCTTAGATGATTTAAATCAATGTAAAGCTTTAAGAGAACCTTTGAGGCTTGAGCATCAAGGAGCAGATAATGGTTAGAGAATCTCCAACGGAAGTGCGGGGGGCCACCCAAATGCCAGCAGTGACTGTGCAGAAGTGAAGACCAGTGTGGAAAAAGTGACAAGTCTGAGCGGGAGTGAAATTGAAGAGCACGCTCACTGGTGGTCCGCACTGAGGTGTGGGTAGGCAGCACACATTCTGAGGGGGCAGGGGAATACCCGTTACGCAAGGCGTCCCCACATTGGCCGAGCCGCTGTGGCTCCTCCCACACAAACTGAGCATGCCGCGTCATTGGCCACGCTGAGAACATTGAGTCCTTTTGGGTGTCATACCAGAAAAATGCGTGAATTTCTTTTGAGGTCTGAAAATGTATCACTAAGGAGATGAGAAGATGGCATCGGGGCACTAACAGTGCTGTGTGCATTTTCGTACTTAGATTTTCCACATAGAATTTTTTTTTAGAAGTTCTCACTTAATCATTTCTTTCTGTTATTTATTTCCTTGAAAGGATCTACTGTCCAATCACACATCGTAACATAGTATTTGATAATAACCGTTTTATTAAATAAATATAGCTTATATACATGTATAGCTTTGACATAAATACAACTTCTAGGTGTAATTATGTGCACTGTGCAATCACGTAAATGAAATACATTCAGAAAAATTTGCCCATCCATCCATCTTCCAACCATTTGTCCATTATCTATAGTCAAACCATAATCTTTATATATGTGCCAGTTCATTTTAATAATAATAATAATAATAATAATAATAATATATAGGTGCTGCCAGACAAGTCAGGGGTCAAAGGTTATGCTGTGGACATAAGTGGAGTTGCTGTTTTTGTCAGTTTCTTGCCATCCAGGTACCGCATGGCCCTCTGTGCCCAGGGGCTCGATGGATCCGAGCAGATGGTAATGCCCAATACAGTCTTGATCCTGGGAAGACAAAATGGTAACATGACTGATCACTTGTTTTATTCATGCGATGCTTAATTAGCATGCACTGCAAATTTTACAATGAAATTCCGGCTAAAGGAAATGTTTTGACAATCATCGTGTAGGACTATAAGATTTAAGAAGAGGACTGTTTACACTGGCTATTGCATCTCATAGAAGCTGACTATATTATTACTAATTAATTATTATTTCTAATTATTAATTTTATTTAATGGAATTAAATGTGTGTATTTTGGAAAACAAAACTCATAGCAGGACCTTCCTGAAAGACACAAAACACTGATACTTGGTTTCCTGCTGATGATCAGAATGAATTTAATAATTATCTCTGTAATAGATGCTAAGGATATTTGAAAGTTAATTATATCAGAAAGCTTGTTGAAGGATACTCACTGAACTGCTTCCACTGCACACACTGCATTCTGCATGTGGTAGCTCACCAGCCTCCCCAGGGGAGCTTTGGCGTCTTGGGTTTTCAGACAACAGGAGGCCACTGGACCAGCTAATGCTGGATAAGATGAAGGACACATGTTAGATGTGTAGATCTTAACAAAATCCCGGCCCCAACCAATATGGATCTTTGACCATCAACATCAGTAAGAGTTTACTGAGAGCTTCACTCAGCTTTGACCTCCGTACGTTATCTGATTTAGAATCTGTCCAATTTAACATTACTTGACAGTTTGTGCCACCAGGTACTCAATTGTCTACAAGAGTTAAATAATTGTACTACAACTAATTGACTACAGTAGACGTACATGCCAAGTGTCCTGTGTTCTCAGTGTAAAAGAGTAAGGACTGGAAGGCGTAAGGAGATCTAAGTATGGCAACGTCCGTCATCCATCTCTAGCAGAAGAGCCAAACATTTGGTCACTCACCTTGGCTGGATGGAGTATTCAGGAAGAGCATCAGTAGACAGAGGCCGAAGAAAGGTGAGCTTGCAGGCATCATTTTGACAGAAGGAGGATTTCTAACATCTCCATCCAAACCCTGCTTATATATACGCTTCTCTTGCTCCACGCAGAGGGGAAAAAAACAGTAGCACTTCTTCCAGTCTGCCCTCCTCCCCAACCACCCACCAAACCCAGCAATCGTCACCTTGCTACGAGTGAACTCTTACTTTCTAGTTTGTGGTGCTTGATGGTTTTTAAATATAGCACATCTTCATCAGAAACTGTGGTGGAGTGCATGTGTGCAGACATTAAAGCTGAAAGTAAAGCCTGCATGTCCAAAGACGATAGATAGATAGATGCTGGCTATTGTCATTTTAAGTACAATGAGATTTAGTTTGGAACACGCCAGCAGATGCACAGTATATTTACAATTAAATAGATTCTGAGGCATAAATAGAATGGGAGAGTATGTACAGAAACTATATATGTACAAGATATATATATACAATAAGGTGCTTGTAATTTAGTTTGAAGAGGTAGAGTTTTCAAGTGGACTAAATGCACATAAATATGGAAATTGCACATGTGGGGTATTGCATCAGAATGTTTGAGATCAGTGCTGAGAGTTCAGAAGTGTGACAAGTTCAGCCGGGTTATAATAAATGAAAAAGTGGCATCTACATGGGGAGCTAAGGGCTGGCGTGTCCGTGCGCCGCCATCTTGGAAGTTATGATGGAGAGTGAATGAGCGCTTAACATGTCAGGCAGCTCAATATCATTCATAGAGCATCACACTAACAAAATACAACTCAAAGATTCCTCCGTCTGCTAAAGATATTGGCTGAAACTTGTATGTTACAGTAGAAAAGTTTATGGAGTCTGCATAACGTTCTAAAAATTGATGCTGGATTTGTTACTATAGCACAGTGTCTGGTTAGAAGTTCTCCAGATAATAGCGTGTTGGGAAGCCAGGAAATCCACATATACCTGTTTAAATGCACAATAACGTGCTTAGTGGTCTTTCCTTGCAGCCAAGTAAACATTTTAGTTCTTCCATGACAGAAGAACAGAGTGCGGCCTTCTTGTCTGGCTCAACTTTTGTAACGTCCATCATCCCGGAGCTCCTCCTCATGCCAGCGTTCTAGAGCCTTCTCCCTTCACATTTTATAGCTGTCGCATCAGTTGGTGACTGGTTTGCGGCCCTGCTGCTCCTTGGAGCCTTTCTACAGCGCCGTGAGGCCCGGCTTCAGGATTCAGCAGAACATGGCAGCAGAAGGTTTCTGGGGTCCGTCAGGCTGACAGTGTGCCTCCGATCATCACGCCACTTGCTGAAGATTCTGTCAGGCTCCACAGGACAGGGGACAGTTTAGGGTCCCCAGGATCTTCTGAGGCGTTTGCTGTTTGGGCTCTAGACTCATTATAAATTGCACCCCCCCCCCAAAGGATATTAACCAGTAAATAATCAAGCAAAAGCAACTCGCCTTGTGATGACTCTTGATGACTGGAATCAGCCATTTTTGCTGATATTGTGCCATAATAAGGGGAATTATCTGTTGCACGATTCACATTACACAATTGCTATTCTCGTAAGTCTGTATAACAGACAATCATGCATCGGCTATTATATTAGCAGTTGGATGAGTACTGATAACGAAGAAAAGTAACCTAGACGGATGAGTATATTCCTGATGAAAGACAATATCAGAGCATGAAATAAAAATATTCTTTATCGTTAGAACTCAATTTGCAACTGTATAAAGGGATATAAATGAGCTTTTTTTAAAACACTGTTTAACTCACCTGAGGGGTCATTAAACGTTAATAGTTATTTTTGTGTGCACAAATTGTGTATTTATTCTCAGACATTGTTTTAGTGGTCCTTCCGGAACAGACCCTGGTGGACTTATGTTGCCATTACGCTGATTGGCTATCCCAAAGACCCCGATACTCTTAGTGTGTAGCGAAGACGTGCGATTGGTTATTCAGTCAGAGGAAATATGGGGGGGTGCTGGGGGGTTGTAAATGGAAGCAGTGTTCCGTTTCTTAGTAGTGTGCTGCCTTGGCCACAAAAACCTCATCCCCCCTGCAGATGAGTTTCACTAAAGTTCACCCCCTAAGCACAGCTCCACCCAGGGGGCATCAGCACCCATGTGACTCCCTCTGACGTTCACGATTGGCCCGTCACAACTCTTACATAATTCCGATTGCCTGTTGCCAGGAAACAATGAGTCATGTGCAGGTTCTTGTTGAGGCTCACTGATGCATGGCATCGAGTCCTTAATGGCGTGTGTAATTATGCAACATCTACACACTTGTTCTGTAAGGCTGTGAAACCTGGTGGACCTCATCAGTGCTTAGTGAACTATCAAGGAGACCCATTTCTAAATTGCTTCTGCTTTTCTGTGAGAAATTGCTGTTGCGCTCATGCTGAATCGTGCCACTCGCTTTTTCATGGGGCCTGACTTAAATTTTTTCCTGCCACCATGACGGAGATCCCTCTGCAGGGCTGTCTCTTCAGAATGACAGGGCAAGGAAAGGTCACCCTCAAGACACTTTAACTTGATCTCAGTGGGGCAAACATTCGAGAGAGAAGGAAGGAAAGTGGTTCCTTTGTTATCGTGCATCGTGTGTGTGACCTGGAAGAGCCGAAAGCAACGTGTACATTAAGCGTGCGAGTGAGCAAACGGGCTAAACCACAGACAGGGTGTAAATCCCACGTGTCTTGGTTTCGTGCACGATCTCCAAAATTTCACATCAACCATTTGGAATGTACAGCAAATTAAAATGTGGTTTGGTCAGGGAATGAGACCCCAGATCTGAGGGTGGGGCGGGGGGCTTTAGGCAGCTAAGGCTGGAAACTTTGACAGTTCAGCACAAAGTATTAGTCAGTCTTATGCCCCTTTTTGGTACAGCAGCAGTGGGAAAAAAAAACAAACACTTTTTTTCAGACCCTGTCAACACATAATTAAATATCAGACTATATAAAAATTGTTATTATATACACTGTATGATCAAATGTATTGGCCAAGAAGGCCTCTTATGATCAGAAGAGCTATAAATCTGTCACCTTCAGTAATTTTCATGACATCTCATTCTCAATCCATAGGCATCAATATGCAGTTGGTCCCCCCCTTTGCAGCTATAACAGCTGCCACTCTTCTGGGAATCGCCTTCCAGAAGATTTTGGAGTGTGTCTGTGGGAATTTTTGCCCATTCATCCAGAAGAGCATTTGTGAGGTCAGGCACTGATGATGGAGGTGAAGGTCTGGCTCACGATCTCCATTACAGTTCATCTCAAAGGTGTTTGATAGCATTAAGGTCTGGGCTCTGTGTGGGCCAGTCAGGTTCTTCCACACCAAACTCACCCAACCATGTCTTTATGGACCTTACTTTGTGCACTAGGGCACATGTCACGCTGGAACAGAAAAGGAACTTCCCCAAACTGTCCCCACAAAGTTGGAAACATTGAAATGTCCAAAATGTCTCGGTATGCATATCAATACATCATGAATAATTCTATGTTGACAATTGTATATTGATGCCTATGGATTTAGAATGGAATACAATAAAAGTTCAAGTGGGTGTAATGGCCAGGTGTCCCAGTACTTTTGTCTATACTATATGTGTACCAGGTAGTATTAAGGTGGTGCATGTGTGTTTCACTGAATTTAAATGTATACATATCTATGTGTGTGTGTGTATGTGTGTGTGTGTGTGTGTGTGTGTGTATATATATATATATATATATATACAGGAACACTCAAGAGTAAGACCTACTTGGCTGGAGAATAAGCGACAGTTTCACATGAGACAGTTCTACGTTTTCAAAAATCATACATATTCAAATGTATATGTTACAAAATAAACCATTTAATGTCTTCTGCAAAGAGCATCCCAAAAAAAAAAACATCAATGAAGGAGAGGGGCCATCTCTTCCTTTTACAGCAGTTTCTATTCTGTCCACCACCTTGTGACTCCTGCAAGGGCTTCTAGGTTCTGGTCAGAAACTCCCAGTCAAATCGAAACTTCTGAACAAGGGGAGTGGCAGACACCCACAAAAAATCAGCAAGTGTCATCATCTGATTCACACTGTTCAACCTTCCCGTCTCATTCCTCCTGAGTGTCAAGGCTACAGTAAAATGTCTGGACTCTCAGGCATTGGTGTCATGGGTTTCTGTGGTTGTTCTCGCATTAACTCTCCATTGACAGGTCGCCTCAAAGCGCGTCTAGTGAACGGAAGTTAGACAACCTAACATCTACTGAATGAAAAACCAAGATAGACCCTTTTCCACTATTAGGGGCTGCTAACCACTCCAACCATTTATTCATCTATATGTTAGCTGTGATCTTATTGAGGGTTGCCATACTCAGGGGTAGTGCTTGAGATTTTGGGCTCCATGAGAGCATATCATAGTAGGGCCCCAACTCCAGACCAATCCAATTAGGTTCCAAACATTTGTGTCACTCAGTGGACTCTGGAATCATCCTAACTCCCCACCCCCACCCCCTTTCCAGTGCCTCAGGACATGCTACCACCAACTTATTGGCAATCAACTCAATGCCATTAGCTCAGGACTTTCATGAAAACTAGAAATAGACTCTTATGTGCAGAACACTCTGATCCTCTCCTGGACATGTTGAAAACCAAACTTCTGGGTTTAAACCAAACAAAAAAATACAGCTTGGTATAAGATGTTATTTTTCACGTTGCCATGGCCACCTGTTCAGTCTATAGGCCTCAGGTTGACGGACAGGATATAACTATTTGTGTGGTAATATTGCTGGTCTTTTCCCAGTGAAGATGCAACTCAGCGAGTGACTGTCAGCTGCTGGAGGGCTGACCTTCCCCAGTGTCGGGTGGAAAGGTTCCGCCACTGCATAATATTCAGCCACTGCATTTAACTGCACGCTGTTGACACCCTCAGGTCTTCCTGACAAGGGATTTTCTTGTGACACTTCTATCATGTAACACATTGTGCTTTTTTTGAGAATGTAGGGGCAGACAGTTACAGGTGCAAATGGGGATTACAAGCTTTGCTCGGGAGCTCAATGGTGAAATCGCTCCACTGACCCTGGGATTTGAATCGGTGACCTTCCACTGAGAGGCAGAGGATTCCAACCCTCTGATTCACCACCCAGCAGGCGTCCAACGCTCCTTGAACTAACCTCCCATTCGAACACAGCGTATGAGCTGTATATTTACTCAAATGTGATAACGGGTCATTCGATTCACTGGAACCATTGAAAGCACATTATACTTCACACATCGTAAGGCGAGAGTGGGCGTGAACATGCCGGCGTGGGGCAAAGGCAGGTAACCAGAGCGCTCATTCACCTCACCTGGGTCTTATAAAATTCTCCTGGACTCTGCTGGATGGGTCCTTGCGCCGCTTGTAGGCTGATTTGGTTTGGTTTGCTCCTCTTGAATCTCAGCAGTCATTAACGATGGATAGATGCAATCAGACTGAGAGAAAATCAATTATATGAAAAATAAAACATTGCACTTTGGAGTATTGCAATATAAAGAACAGCACATATGGATTGCACATACATTGTATGTTTCCGAACCCCTAACTGTGCACTTTTTGATCCTAGCAAATGGAATTTCCCTTTATTTTAAGCACAAACATTGCATAATCTTCCGAACAGCTATAAATAGAGAAATAAAGTCCTCAAGTTTCTATACAATTCTCAGTTTCTATGCAATTCCCAATTTCTAAATCACACAGAATTTTCTGTTTACCATAACAATTAATCCCACGTAACTGCTGATTTTGGAACTGGATTTTGGAATATGCATGCACCGAGGACAGTCCAGTTTCCAATGAATATCGTAGCTTTCTTGGTTTTCGTGAGAAAAGAAACTTATGTTTGAAGCTGCCTTTGTTCAGAGGTTCCACTGCAAAATTGGCTTGTAACAGGCAACAAATTAGCAGCACATTAGGGCGAATTATGAATGAAGAATATCTAAGTGAAAGGAACCAGATGAGTCTGAAAAATGGGGACCTGCAGCAAATGCAAGGGGAAGTACTGGGTTTGCTGGACACAGACCATCACATTTCCACTTCCCCAATAAGTGGCCATGCACTCCTTTTCCAACTGCTTATTCACTGCTGGGTCACTGGAGGCCTGGAGCCAATCCCTGGCAACATAGAGCACAAGACCTGAACCCTCGGTGGGATATCAGTCCATCACTGGGTACACGCTCTCTCGCAACTGGCAATTTAGAGACACAGTCATTTAATTCCGTATTTTTGGACTTAAATCCCCAGCCGTGCAGGCATGAGGCAAGAGTGTTTCCTCTAGTGGGATGTTCAATCCTGTTGCTCTGCACGTGGAGCATTGAACTAATGATGCATAGGTTGTGGGTTCAAATCCCACTCATAAAAAAGGTGCAGTCCTTCCCTCTGCTTTTTGGATGAAATCGTTAGATCAATGAATAAATGTAAGTTTATTTAAATGTAAACTAAGGCTGT